CACGCAGCGACCTTACAAATGCCAGAAGTCGTCATCGGCCCGTCACGCGCGGAACTGTCACGTCCGTCAGGCGCACGGCAACACCCCGCAGCAAACAAAAAAACAAAAAACGAACGTCCGGCGAATCACCCGCGAGGAGAGCGGCATCACCGGCCGGCGGCGACGAGGCCCCATCACTCAGCGGACGGACGGGCGCCGAACGGCAGCAGCTTGCGACGCGCGCGGGCCCGCGGCGGTCTCATCACTGCACGCGCGAAGGCGGCCGCACCGGGCGTACACGGCGTCACGCGGCCGCGCTCACCTCTAGCGACTGCGTTGGACGTTAAGGGCGCGGGGCGTGGCGGCGGGGGGGGGCGGAAGCGATGGGCGGGTGCAGACGCGCGCGTGGAGGTGGTGATGGACCACGAGGGCGAAGTAAGCGATTGTTGCAGTGATTTGGCTAGTGGGCACGATTGTTAGAAGTGGTGATGGGAGAGGAGGGTCGATCAAGCGATGGTTTACATTCTATCATATGATGGTGGACGTGAAGTAGTAGACTAATGATTATGACGAGACGAGGATGAATAATGCCAGTGGGGGCGGGGGGGGGGATTGCAGTACGACGCCGCGCGTGGAAGTGGAAAGTGGAGGGGAAGGCCAATAAGGTGTTAATGCGCTAGTCGGTTGTGCGGTTTGGATCCGCTGTCGTGAAAATGTGATGGAAGAGTGCTTGACATAAGCGATGGTTGCACGTCAATTGTGCTTGTGGACGCGCGCTGGAAGGTAGACGATGGACCCAGAGGGCGAATAAGCGATGGTTAGCAGCGGTTGGGTGGTGGCAGCCGGCGTGGAAGTGGAGGTAGATAAGAGAGCGAATAAGCGATGGTTCTGCATTCGAACTTTGGCTCGTGCGCGGCGCGATTTGTAGATATAGTGGATGATGGAAGAGAGGGCGAATAAGCGATGGTTTGCAGTCAAGTGTGCTGAGTGGACGCTTCGCTAGAAGCAGAGGTAGATAAGAGGGCGAATAGACGATTGTTGCAGTCGATTGGGGCTGGTGGGCGACGATTGGTAGAAGTTTGGGGTGATGGATAGGGACGGGTATAGTATAAGCGACTGTTTGCAGTCGATTGAGCTGGTGAGGAGTGTGCGTGGAAGTGGTGAATGTGGACCAGGGGGCGAATACAGCGATGGTTGCAGTCAATTTGGGCTGGAGAGCGCGATTGTAGAAGTGGTGATGAAGGAGAGTGAATAAGCCGGTGGTTACAGTCCAATTGTGGCTGGTGGACGGTTGCCTAGAAGGGAGTAGATAAGAGGGCGAATAAGCGATTTGGTTTCAGTAGATTTGGCTGGTGCACGGAAGGAGGGTGCAATAAGCAATGTAATTCGCAGTCAAGTGTATCGGGCAGACAGACGGTGTAGAAGTGGTGATGGAGGGAGAGGGTCAATAAGCAATGGTTTGGAAGTCACTTGTCTGGTGTAACACGCGTGTGAAGTGATGATGGAGGAGAAATATGTGCTAGTTGTAGAGTCCAACTGATGCGGTGGACATGGACTGGTAGCAATGTAGAGTGGAACTAGGTTGTTGCACGGTGTGAGAGTGGAATTGTTAGTAGTTGAAACAGTATAGTATCGGGATTAGATGCAGAAGTCATGGTTTTCGCTTGTGCAAATGTGAAGGATGAAGCTTTTGATTATTGAGCTTTTCCGGTACGAAAACTGCATGGTCATGGTTGCTTGGTAGGTTACTCATATTGACACCCCGGTGGAATATACATGAGTATTGGACTACGTTGTTTGCTGGTGCAATGAATTGGCTGCCTGTAAGTGATGATGGGTGGGTTGGTAAAGTGCGATAGTAGATAGTGTGAGTGGTGATATGTGGATAAGGCATCTAAATGAGATTGATAGAGTTAAAGGCGACGATGGAGACTATAATTATGCTTCGCAGATTGCGGAGGATGGAAATAAGCGATATAAGAGTAGTGGAAATTGGGTGCCTCCTTGAGATGGATAATCCCGAATGCTGAATATCAGTTTTTCTGGAGGAAAACGGCATGTTTAAGTGATGGATGGGCGAACGGATTGAAAACTGTGTTGAGAAGGCGCGATGTCACGAGCCATGATGCTGAAGGTTGTGGTGGAGGATTTGTGTTGAGCAATAAAAACGTCGCATATTTCAGAAAAACAGCAAAATCGGTGAGAAACTTCGGAGTAGAAATAGTCATTGGCAAGAAGTGAATAGTGAGATAATATAGAAGAGCATAGAATAGGCAAGGCAGCAAAGCTAGAACATTTTAACAAAGAGAAGACTACTGCAGGAAGCGATGGATTCTAGTGCGCAGCAAATATTAAATGTCCGTCCAATGCATTATCAGATGCTTTGAGGCTTCTAATTTGTCAGTGCCTCTATGCTCACAAACAGCAGGTGGACTAGATTTTTGCGTTGGAAACCGGACGTCAACCCTTAGAATGCGCATTCCCGATTACACGCGATTACATTTCGAAGCCCGTGTGTTCTGATGGAACCGTGGTTATTTCTGAGAATGTCGGCGTCAACGCTTCGCTCATACCCATTGTTTATCTCTTATAAAGAGACTTCCCACCCATTTGTACACTATCATGTAGACGCCAAGGTTTACGACACCCTCGTGCGACCTTGTTAAGAATTACAAATCGACTGTCTTTGAGAAGAAAAATTACTGCGTTCAGGGGAAAAGACACATGCCCGCACATTCACAAAGGTGGAGGTAAAAGCGACGCAGACGAATTAATCAGAAATATAATTGTGACCCTCTTCTGTTTCTATAATGAAACTTTAACGATTATACCACGATCCAGGCGGGGAATAAGCGATGGTTGCAGTCGATTGGGCTGGTGGACGCGAGTGTAGTAGTGGTGATGGAAGGGAGGGTGAATAGAGATGGTTGCAGTCAATTGTGCTCGTGGACGTGCGCCTGGAAGTGGAGGTAGATAAGAGGGCGAATAAGTGATGGTTTCAGTCGATTATGCTGGTGAACGTGAGTGTAAACGTGGTGATGGCTGAGAGGGTGAATAAGTGTTAGTTGCAGACGATTATGCTGGTGGATGCGAGTGTATAAATGGTAGTGGCAGAAACGGTGAATAATCAATGGTTCCGGGTGATGATTCGAGGATGACTTGATGGTGCAATTGATTGTGAGGGTGGACGCGCGCGTGGATGTGGAAGTAGATGAGAGAGCGAATACGCGATTGTTTCAGTCGATTATGCTGGTGGACTCAAGTGTAAAACTGGCATTGGAAGGGAGGGTGAATAAGCGATCATTGTAGTCTATTATGATGGTGGACGTGAGTGTAGAAATGATTATGGCAGAGGGGATGAATATGCAGTGGTTGCAGTCAATTGTGCTTGTGGACGCGCGCGTGGAAGTGGAAATGGAAGAGAGGGCGAATAAGTGTTAATCGCAGTCGGTTGTGCGGTTGGTTGTGCGTGTAGAAATGGTGATAGAAGAGTGGATGAGTAAGCGATGGTTGCAGTCACTTGTGCTGGTGGACTCGCGCCTAGAAGCGGAGGTAGATAAGAGGCCGAATAAGCGATTGTTTCAGCAGATTTGGCTGGTGCACGTGAGTGTAGAAGTCTTATGGAAGGGAGGGTGAATAGGCAATTATTGCAGTCAGTTATGCTGGCAGACACGCGTGTAGAAGTGGTGATGGAGGAGTGGGTGAATAAGCAATGTTTAAAGTCAATTGGGCTGGTGGACGCGCGCATGGAAGTGGAGATGGAGGAGAGGGGTTGTAATGGTTGCAGTCAGTTGTGCTGGTAGACACGCGTGTGGAGGAGATGATGGAGGAGATATTCATCACATATCACATCGAATCACATATTCATGTGCTGGTTAGAGTCAACGGTGCTGGTGGACATGACTGATAGCAATGTTAGTGGAACTGAGGTATGTTGAGGTGACGAGTGGAATTGTTAGTAGTGAAAAGTAATAGTATCAGTTAGATGCAGAAGTCATGTTTCCTTGTGAAATTGAAGGATGAAAGTGATTGATTTATTGATTTTTCCGGGTCCGTAAACTGCAATGGTCATTGGTCCGGTTAGTTTAATGACCCAGTGGAAATAAGAGTATTGGGATAACGTGTTTGCTGGCGAAATTGGCTGCTGTAAGTGATGATGGGTGAGGGTGGTAAAGGCGATAGATAGGTGAGTGGTGATTGTGGATAAGGCATCTAAATGAGATTGATAGAGTTAAAGGCGATGATGGAGATATATTATGCTTGCAGATGCGGAGGATGGAAATAGCGATTATGGAGTAGGAAATGGGTGCCTCCTTGAATGGAAATCGATGCTGAATATCAGTTTTCTGGAGAAAACGGCATGTTTAAGTGATGGATAGGGCGAACGATTGAAAACTGTGTTGATGAAGGCGATGAGTACCAATGATGCTGAAGGTTGTGGTGGAGATTTTGTGTGAGCAATAAAAAGTGTATTTCAGAAAACAGAAACTGGAAAATTCGGAGATAGAAATAGTCATGCAAGAAGTGAATAGTGAGATAATAAAGAAGGAGCAATAGAATAGGCAAGGCACAAAAGAACATTTTAACAAAGAGAAGACTACTGCAGAAGCTATGGATTCTAGTGACAGCAAATACTATGTCGTCAATGCCATTATCGGAATCTTTGAGGCTTCTTATTTGTCAGTGCTTATGCTACAAACAGCAGGTGGATAGATTTGCGGTGGAAACCGGACGTCGACCCTTAGAATGCGCATTCGCCGTGATTGCAGCGATTACATTTCGTAGCTCG